GGTTTTTTTGGTTTGTTTGTTTTTTTGAGACAGGGTTTCTCTGTGTAGCCCTGGCTGTCCTGAAACTCACTCTGTAGACCAGGCTGGCCTCGAACTCAGAAATCCGCCTGCCTCTGCCTCCCAAGTGCTGGGATTAAAGGCGTGCACCACCACCGCCTGGCGAATTACAATTTTTGAAGTGGGGAAACCCTTGGTTAATCTGGATATTTTTAGGTGATGAGATCCACATTTTCTCTAGACCACATTTTCTTATGGTAGCCTAGATATATAAAGGATATTGAAGATGGTGTCTTGTTCTACCCCTGAGTAGCAAGTTCTTCTTTTTTTTAATGGCAATATAGCCTACTTTGTTGGAATTCAGGTATATTCTGAAGATGAACTGAGAATCCAGACACATGGACTGAACCACCACTGGATTCTTCAATTTTCCCTTGGTATCAAGCCACTGTTAGATTAGTTGGACCACAACCTGCAAGCCATTCTAATAATTCTACTTTCTACATATATAGAGATTAATTTTATCAGTTCTGTTCATCTGGAGAACCTTCACTAATACTGCCATTGTTTTTTCACCTTACCACTGTGAAAGTTGTGTCAGCTAATAATAGTGCTCCACACTGTTTGTCATCTGTTTCCTGCTTTTCTCCCAGGCTTTTCTCATACTTACCAGGTGAGAAGTACCAGCAGTTTTCCTGAACTCAGCAAGAAGCCACGAGGGGGTGGGGGTGGGGGCGAGGACGGGGACGGACCCAAAACCTTGTTTCCTAAAATCTCTTCAATTCTTAATATTCTGAGCACCCTTCCACTGGTAGGACAGATTAATCACTCCACTGCAAGTTGAGTAATAGGCTAAGCATGCTATCTACCTTGATTCTAGGAGGAAGAAGTGCCTACTGAGTGCTGTGAGGGGAGCTCAGACAATCTCTGAAATACAGACCTGGTTCAACGCCCAGAAAAGGAAGGACCTGGCAGCTGCGCAGTGTAAGCTGGGATGGTGGGTACTTTCTGGGCCTGGGTGGGAAGACAGACTTGTAAGGTACTGGAGGTCAGACAAAAGTGCTACTGAAACGCAAATCCCTGAAGATCCGGAAAAGGTGTAGCTGTAGACTGGAAGTCTGGGCCCGGAATCACTCAACTGTTTACCTTCAGCAAGCTTAAACTCTACGGGAGATGCTCATGTCATTCAAGACACACTGGCCAATCAGACCCTCGATATTGACCTGCCAGTCAAAGAGGAGGCAGGTCCTTCCGGGTGCGAAGACGCTTGTTCGACTTAGTGAACTGCTTGAGTGGTTTTCTGTGCTATCCTCTGATACCGGCTGCTGAGTGCTGTGAGGCGCAATCAGGAAAGTTCTGAAGTGGCAACATGGTGAGCACAGGGTCACTGCTAACTGTGGGAAGAACCAAGGGGATAAGCATCGGGAGCTCTTGTGTTGGGTCTTTCCCGGGTGTATATGGGAACCAGCTGCCATATTCTGCCAGATGTGAGGTCCCTTGTGTTCCTAACCACTGCCTGTACCCAGCGGTAGCCTCTCAATAATTTCACTGTCGGGGCTGCATCTGTGCTGAACATTTGGCTTAGTGGCTTGTGAGTGGAAGCATACTTGGCTGGATGCCAAACTCAGAGAACCCTTGTTTATACATATTCTGCTGTAGAATTTAACATTAAGGTTAAGCTCTACTTGGAGTTAATCTTGTGGAAGTTGCATCTATTGTTTTAGCTAGCAATCCAGTATTAAACTCTGGTGTAAAGGAGTAGAATTGAAAATGTAAAGGAGTTTCTATTGCTTAGGAGATAGTAAGTCACACCAAGTAGAATTTAGCTGAAGGAGGACTGCCTCACTCACAGATATGTAGTATGCTAACCAAGCCTGTTAGAGAGTGCTAGGACACCTGTGTTCACCAGGATTGTCCAGAAATATGGATCCTAGCCATAAGAAAGAAAATAACCCTGATACACAACCATTCACTAGGCCCATCACCATATCGGAGAGCTCTAACAAGCTGCTCAATGTGGGATTACAGGATCACAATAAACATTATGGCCTAGTGTGCCACAAAGGTTCAGTTTTCTAGAGAAGCATGGTTATTTCAAGATCATTCCTGTCCAAGACTATAGTGACCTTGGGACTGATAACCACAACCACATGTGCTTATATTGGGATATAAATGAATAAATAAGCAAATTAATAAAAGGAAGAGTATTTTGATGGATAGAATAGTCTGAGCTGATATCTGTGGTCTCTTAGGGTCTGCAAGACATCTGTCTGGGGCCTTCTGGCTTTTAGCATCTCTGTTGAGAAGTCAGGTGCAATTCTGATAGGTCTGCATTTATATATTTCTTGTCTCTTTTCCTTTGCAGCTTTTAATACTCTTTCTTTGCTCTGTACATTTAGTGTTTTGGTTTTATTTGGTAGGAGGATGTTCTTTTCTGATCCAATCTCTTTGGTGTTCTGTAACTTTCATGTACATTTATAACCATCTCTTTGTTTAGGTAAGGTAATTTTCTACTATGATTTTGTTGAAGATATTTTCTGGGCCTATGATCTGGGTACCTTCTCCTTCTCTGTCTCTTCACTCAGGGTGATATTTTCTAGTTTTGTCCATTTGCCTGCAAAGCTCAATGATGACCTCATTCTTGATAGCTGAATAGTATTCAGCTGTGTAAATAAACCACATTTTCTTTATCCAGTTTTCCTTTGTGGGACACCTGGGTTGCTTCCAGCTTGACTATCACAGATAAGGCCGCTATGAACATAGTGGAGAATGTGCCCCTCTGGTATGGTGGGGCATCTATTTTCAATTGTCTGAGGAACCTCTAGATTGATTTCCAGAATGGTTATACTAGTTTACAATCCCACCAGCAAAAATCACATAATCATCTCATTAGACGCTGAAAAGGCATTTGACAAAATACAACACCCCTTCATATTGGGAAATCAAGAATTCAAGGCCCATACCTAAACATAATAAAAGCAATATACAGCAAACCAACAGCTAATAAATATCAAACTAAATGGAAAGATTCATTTCCTTTTTTTTTTTTTTTTTTGGTTTTTCGAGACAGGGTTTCTCTGTGTAGCTCTGGCTGTCCTGGAACTCACTCTGTAGACCAGGCTGGCCTTGAACTCAGAAATCCGCCTGCCTCTGCCTCCCAAGTGCTGGGATTATAGGCGTGCGCCACCACCGCCTGGCCTCATTTCCTCTTTAAAGGCCTCTACAAGTTGTTTTTCCTTGTATTACTTTAAGGGATTTATTTATTTCCTCTGTCTTCAGACACACCAGCAGAGTACATCAGATCCCATTACAGATGGTTGTGAGCCACCATGTGGTTGCTCGGAATTGAACCCAAGACCTCTGAAAAAGCAGTCAGTGCTCTTAACTGCTGAGTCATCTTACCAGCCCCTATTTATTTTCTCTTTAAAGGCCTCTATCATCTTCATACAATGAGATTTAAGGTCATTTTCTTGTTCTACAGTTCTGTCAGGATATGCAGAGCTTGCTATAGAAGGACAGCTGGGTTTTGATGATACTTTAGTGCCCTGGCTTTTATTGATTGTGTTCCTCTGCTGGCCTTTAGCCATCTGGTTGTCTCTGTTGTTGCCTGTCCTGATAGGCCCTGGTGATAGCAAGCCTCTTGAGACTTCAGATAGAGCTAGTAGTCCCTAATGGTAGCAGGCCTCTGGTTGTCCTGGGTGGCAGCAGGCCCCCAGAGAGGTAGGCTGAGCTGTTGCCCAGGGAGTGGAGTGCACAGATCCCAGAATCAAAGTAATTTTTTTTAACAGCTGAGTAATACTTCATTATATAAATGTACCACATATTCTTTATCTGTTCTTCAGTTAAGAGAAATCTAGCAGCTGGGTGGTGGTGACGCACGCCTATAATCCCAGCACTTGGGAGGCAGAGACAGGCGGATTTCTGAGTTCAAGGCCAGCCTGGTCTACAGAGTGAGTTCCAGGACAGCCAGGGCTACACAGAGAAACTCTGTCTCGAAAAACCAAAAAAAAAAAAAAAAAAGAGAGAAATCTAGCTTGTTTTCAGTTTCTGCGTAGAATTACTAAAACACCTATGAATATAATTGAGCAAGTGTCCTTGTGATGGGATGAAATGTATTTTGGGTATATGCCCAAGAGTGGTATAGCTGGGTCTTGAAGTAGACAAATTCTCAGTTTTAGGGCTGTCAGGTTTGCTATTAATTTGCTAGTAAGAGATCTCTCTAATTATTTTTTTTTAATGTATACACTTAGTGCTGTCAACTGCACTAAGTTAACAGTTGACAGAATAACCCTAATATCACTACCTTCCTTGTGTCCCATAAGTTTGAAAATGTTGTATATTCATTTTCATTGAATTCTAGAAAGTCTTTAATATTCTTTTTATTTCTGTCTTCATCTTTAAAATTCCTTTTTTAAAAAAATTTCTATCTTCACTCATTATTTATTCTGTGGAGAGTTGTATAGTTTCCATGAGTTTTCCAGTTTTCTGATGTATCCGTTGTTCATGCTTTGTAGGTTTCATCCATGGTGCTCTGATAGGACACAGGGAGTTATTTCAATTGTCTTGTATCTTTTAAGACTTGTGTTGTATTCAACTATGCCATTCATTTTGGAGAAAGTTCCATATTTGCTGAGAATAGGGTATTTTCTTTTGTGTTTTGGAGGATTGTTCTGGAAATATCAGTTGGGCTGATTTGCTTTTTAAGCTAGATAATTTCTCTGTTTAGTCTTTGTCTGGAGGAACTGTTTGTTGGTGAGAGAGATTGAAGTCTGCAGCAATCAGTGTGTGATGATCAATGTATGGCAGAAATGTTTCTTTTCCAAGGGTGGGAGCTCTTATATTTAGGTCATAGATGTTAATAATTGAAATATTATCTTGGTAAACCTTTATTTTAAATATATAGAATCCTTCCCTATCTCTTTTGATTAATTTTTGTCTATTTAGTTAGATATTAAAATGGCTATACCCGCTTAATTCTTAGGTCCATTTGCTTGGAATAACTTTTTCCAACTCTATACCTTGAGGTAAGTGTCCTTGATGTTGAACTGTATTTCTTTTATGCAATAGAAGGATGGATTCCATTTTAGCATCCATTCTGTTCACCTGTGTCTATTTATTGGTGAATTAAGGTCATTGATATTGAGAGGTATCAATGAACAATGATTTTTAATTCTTGTATTTTGTTGCTGTTGGTGGTGGTGGTGGTAGTTGTGGTGGCAGTGGTATGTGTGTGAGTGGTGTGTGTGTGTGTGTGTGTGTGTGTGTGTGTGTGTGTGTTTGTTTGTCTGTGCTTTCTTTCTTTTGATTTTGCTGGTAATGTGAAATTACTTATTTCATGTGGTTCATGTTTGTAGCTAACCACCTTAGGTTGGAATTTTTTCTTCTAGCACCTTGGGTAGGGCTGTATTTGTAAACAGATAGTGTTTAAATCTAATTTTATCATGGAATATCTTATTTTTTCCACTTATAGTGATTGAAAAATTTTGCCTATAGTAATCTCAGCTAGCATCTGTAGTTTCTTAGAGTGTGCAGCATATGTATCCAAGATCTTCTGGCTTTTAGAGTATTGAAAAGACAGGTATAATTCAAATAGGTCTGCAAATATGTTATTTGGCTTATTTTGTTTTCCTATTTCAGTTTTTCATATTATTTCTTTGTTCTGAGTGTTTAGTATTTTGATTATTACATGGCAATGGGACTTTCCTTTCTGGACCAATACATTTAGTATTTTGTATCCTTCTTGTACCTTCATAGGCATCTTGTTCTTTAGATGAGGAAAATTTCCTTTTATGAACTTATTGAAAATATTTTATGCACCTTTGACCTGATATTCTTCTCTTTCCTCTATTCCTATTATTTGTAGTTTTTGTCCCAGAGTTCCTGGGTGTCTTGTGCCTGGAAATTTTGAGATTTAACATTTTTGTTGACTGATGTATCCATTTTTTCTATTGTGTATTCAGTTACTGAGATTCATTTCTATTTTGTGGTTGAATCATGTTTCTGTAGTTCTTTGTTGCAGTTCTAAAATTTTCATTTCCAGGATTCTCTTAGTTTCTGCTTTCTTTATTGCTTCTATTTCCACTCTTAGATCTTGAACAATTTCATATGTTTCTTTGAACTGTTTACTTTTTCTTGTTTTAGTTTTTCTCTCATTGTTTGATTTCATTTTCTTTGATTTCATTAAAGGATTTACACATTTCCTCTTTAGGGACCTCTATCATCTTCATATATTGGTATTAAGGTTTTTTCAGCTTAGTTGTAGTATTCAGGGCCTCCTGTGTTAGAATAGCTTGGCTCTGTTGGTGACATGTTTCCCTGGCTGTTAGTGATTAGGTTCCTATGCTGGTGTGCAGGTATCTGTGTTTGAGGTGAATATAAATCTAGGTGCTGATTTCTGGGGTTTGTCTTGTTTTGGTGGGAGTTTTCTTCCTGGGTTTCTTTTTAGTCTCTGGATTTTCAGAGAGTCTGTTGGCTGAGTGTTGCCTTTTTTACCCATCTGCTTGCCAGGTATGTTCAAGGAGGAATGTTTGTGGGTGTTATAACCTGGAATAAGGGGAGACCATGGAAATATGATCATAGCAATGCAAAAGAGGTATAGACAAGGGAAATGTGAGGCTGCCTCTGGTGTTCTAGTCCAGTGCTAGTATCCACTGTTAAAACTGCATCTGGAGTAACAGATAGTGCGGTAGGTCTTTGGACAGACTTCTTGGTTTTCTGGCAAGCAGGACATGTACTTAGTAAGCGTGTCTGCCCATAACACTTGATTCAGACACAGATGAAGAAGTAAGAGAAGGGCAGGTGTGGATGGTTCGTGATATCTGCAAGTGGCATGAAAAGGACTAGAGGAAGCTTCCTCTGGTATTCTGTTCTAGGGTTAAGGGCAACTGTGAGAATTGGGTCTGGGATATCAGATAGTGTGGTAGGTTTGTTGACAGTATACTTAGTCTCCTGGCAGGCATGGCCTATTGGTTTGAGAAGGTGCTGTCTGCCTGTAGTTGAGGACTCAGACACAGATGAATCTGGAAGAGAACAGATGGGTATGGTCTGTGGTATCTAGAGGGAGAATGGAAGGGGGAGAGGAAGCTGATCACTAGAGTAAACCTCGAGTATTGGGTCTCAAGTAACAGAGAATGTGGAAGGTCTGGAGGCATCCTACTTAGTACCATACCTAACATCTTAATACTGAGGCATCAGGTTCCCAGTGTTCATTTATCTACTGTGTTGTGATTGAAACTGATCAGTCCGCTTCCTTCTCATGCTGTCATATCTTCATGACATGACAGACTCTATCCTTAAATCACATAAGATACAGTAGAAGCAATTGCTATTCAGTGCTAAGCTATTTTGTTATCTTGATGTTTTTGCATTTTTAGTTTCGTTGGTTTTAAAGATGAAGTTTTTCTCAGTAGCCATGCTTGGTCTCTAAGTAGGTTTTATAGATGAAAAGGCTAGCTTAGAGATTCTCCTCACTCTGTTTCCAGAATGCTGGGAGTAGATATGAGTGCCAAGTCCTGCATGGCCTTCATGGGACAGTGTGCCATAGTTTCCATCCCTGTAGCAGAGCCAGCAGAACTTGGGACTCCAGGAGTTTGACAGTTGCTATTCATAAGGTGTGTCTGTAATGTGTGTGTGTGTGTGTGTAGGAGTTGAGAGTGTGTCTATGTTCCTCACCAAAAATATTAATTATTGTGACTTTCAGGACAGCCCTTAAGGTTAGGGGAAAGAACTCTGAAAACATGAATTCAAAAATATAACTATGTAAAATAAAAGAATGCAATATGAATTTTATAAGAACTTCACAGATGTAGAAGAACAAAGGCTGCTTCATTATGAGCCAGCTTGTCAGAAAGTAAGAAAAGAGAGAAAGAGATTTAGGGAGTGGTAATTTCAGGGAGGGATCATATCCAAGTAAACTTATTTTCTGTACTTACAAAGATTGGCAGATCTCTGAATTCATTTGCAGTGCTAAGAAAAAGAAAAGAAAAAAAGAATGTACTTGCCGTGATTTTATAAGAATCCGGGGGCTGTGGTCAAGGGATGCTGATTCATTGAATAATCAAAGGGGAACCTGGGGTGGACAATTGACTTGAAATATAAATAAAAGATAAGGCATTGGTTTGCAAAAGCTGAGGTGTCTAGTAATCTTCAGAAAGCTGTCTCCAGCCGAACATGGGCTGTCAGTTTGCATCCATGTTTTGGCTTCAATTTTTTTTTTTTCTGCTACTCCCAAACAGCCTTTCCCCAGAATCACTCTTCAATCCTAGGCTGGTCCTTAGCCGGTTGGCTAACATGCCTAGCTTTTATTTTCCTTCTTTATATTACTGGCTCATGGGCCTGGAGTGTATGATTTTGCAGTTGTTAAGGATGTGTTGCTGTGCTGACCTTCACCTACATCGTGGATGGTGAAATTTGACAGAAAGCATATTCTGTCCTCAGGCTGGCATATAATCATGTCCTTAATACTACCTGAGCCTTCTGAGTCACTGGACTGTATTGTGTTCCATTCCTCCAATCCATTGTGTTTGTTAAATATTTTAATGAATAAGAGTATATTGCCTGTATTCATGAATATGCACTTCATGTGTGCCTGATTGGCCCTCAAAATAGTCACAGAAGATGGCCGTAGAGCCCCTGAAGTTGGGATAATGGATAGTTGTGAGCCCACATGTAAGTACTGGCAGTTGAGCTCAATTATTAGCAAACCAATAAGACCGCTTCTCTGCTGAGACATCTCTCCTGATCTATGTTGCTTATTTAGGATTAACATTTACATTGGTAGTATTTTCATCTGTGCACTTACAACTATTTAAACATGTATTTCCTTTTACTAAGATGTTATTAGTGACAAGTTTAAAATAGGCCACTTGAAGTTTCTGGAAGATGAATACCAAACTGGACTAAATGCATAATTCTTTGTAGGAACGTCAGAAAAAACCTCTAACTTTTTTCTATCTTTTTAATTCATTTGATTGATTTGGCAGGGGAATTAGGATCTTACTATATTCCTCTGGCTGTCCTGGAATTCACTGCATCAACCAGGCTGGTATCCAAGTCAATGAGATAACACCTGCCTCTGCCTCTGGAATTCTGGGATTAAAGGCATGAGCCAATACACCCAACTTGCCCATCATATTTTCCTAGTTAGTAATTGTTCATACCATTTCTCTAATGTGTGTTCAATACTGTTTCTCTCTCTCTCTCTCTCTCTCTCTCTCTCTCTCTCTCTCTCTCTCTGTCTATTGGTCTGTCTGTCTATCTATCTGTTAATTGGCATTTCTTTTTCAAGGCTATATGCTATTCAAATGGCACAGAAATGAACCTTATTATTCAATTTCCTTCTGAAATAATTTCATGATTACATTAGTACTTTTGTGTTGAAAAATCAGTGGGGAAGGACCAGAATTATACAAATATATTGACAGTGAGGCAAACATTGAAAGTGATGTTGGCATCACGATTTGTATTGTACACCTTCTATGGGATATTTTAGAATGCAGTAACTTATGATGATGTGCATGTGAACTTCACTCTGGAAGAATGGACTTTACTGGATCCTTCACAGAAGAGTCTCTACAGAGATGTGATGCTGGAGACCTACAGGAATCTCACTGCTATAGGTAAGACACTGAATTTCCTTTTACTTTTCAAAATAAAAGGACAATTATTTCTTTGTTATGGATGCTGTTCTGTGATTTTAATTAAGAATGAGGAAGAATAAGGTAAATGAATCAGGTAGTTTCTAAGATTCATTGGAGATACTAACTTAAATTTTGCCTAACTTCCAATAATCTGTTATAAATTTTCTGTTACTATATTTTAGGCTACAATTGGGAAGATGACAATATCAAAGAACATTTTCAAAGTTCTAGAAAACTTGGAAGGTAATTTTCATGTGCAAGGTGGTTTGAATATGCCTCTGAAGAAATTTTAATGTTCCCTTGAAGTATTAAAGAAAAATGACAGTGTAAAAAAAGCACTGCTTTAAGTGTATCAATAAAACCATGTACCTCAATCTTAGGTATCTGATTTATGCTTGTAATGCATTGCTGTAAGAAAGAAGAGAAGGATACAATCAATGCCTTAATTGATACCAGCATTTGTATCATAGCCCCATTAGTTTATGCTGTAGAAATGGTAATCAGTTTAATCTCATACTACTTCAATACCTATACACATTAGATAGTTGATAAGTATATATGAAAAACCTTCTAATAGGTAAATAGTCCATAATAAAGCTGGTGATACTCATATACTTGTAGTAACATTGCTAACTTTAAGTAAGAAGGGGATAGTTAATGAGAGGCAAGAATGTTGTTTTGGAGAACTCTTAATCCCTATACCTCATATCTATGAGGAAGACATTGTCAACCTTTGTAAAATGCAATGTGGTACCCTTTCATTTGTTATTCTTTTAATAGAATAGGTATATCATATGTAACAATATAAGCCTTGTGAGCATAGGAATATTGAAAGAAGCAATGTACTCCTTTCTCTCTTAGCACAATTAGACGATATGTAGTAGTCCCCACATTGAGTAAAGTTCCTTAATGTGATACAAGTTTACATTTATTTGGTTTTTTAATTTCATAGGGTTCCTCCACAAACTCACACTGCAGAAAATCTCTACAGTACCAGGAATGTGTACATTCTTTTGTTTGTCCTGATTCATATTGTAAATGCAGTATACAAATGTATTCCACACTGAAGGAAAATTTATGAATGTACTCAGTGTGGTAAAGCTCTCAGGTTTTATAATTCTCTTCAATAGGTGAATATTTTCATCTAGATAGAGGATGCTATAAATGTGAGCCATGTAATAAATGCAAAACAACCCATAACATATGGAATACTATGAATGTAAACAAAGTGATTCCTCTTTACCATTAGACCAGATTATAAAATTAATTCGTACAGATAGAAAGACCCATCAGTGTAATGAATGTGGTAAACCTTTTTCATGTGCCAATTGTCTTTGCAGGCATGAAAGAAGTCATAGTGGAGAGAAACCCTATGCATGTAATCAATGTGGTAAAGCCTTTTCATGTCATCATAGTCTCCACATACATAAAAGAAGCCATACTGGAGAGAAACTCTATGAATGTAACCATTGTAATAAAGGCTTTCCGTATCCCAGTGCTCTCCGAATACATAAAAGGACACACAGTGGAGAGAAACCCTATGAATGTAAGCAATGTGGTAAAGCCTTTGCATGTCATAGTTCTCTTCAAAGGCATGAAAGAATACATACTGGTGAGAAACCTTATGAATGTAGCCAATGTGGTAAAGCCTTTACACGTCATAATAGTCTCCGAATACATAAAAGAACTCATAGTGGAGAAAAACCATATGGATGTAATCAGTGTGGTAAAGACTTTGTAAGTCAGAGTCGTCTCCTGGAACATGAAAGAACACATACTGGAGAGAAACCCTATGAATGTAACCAATGTGGTAAAGCCTTTGCATGTTCTAAGAGTCTCCAAGTACATCAAAGAACACACACTGGAGAGAAACCCTATGAATGTAGCCAGTGTGGTAAAGCCTTTGCATATCACAGTGTTCTCCGAACACATAAAAGAAAGCACACTGGAGAAAAACCCTATGAATGTAACCAATGTGGTAAAACTTTTACATATCACAGTGGTCTCCAAATACATAAAAGAACACACACTGGAGAGAAACCCTATGAATGTAAGCAATGTAGTAAAGCCTTTGCATGTAGCAGTCATTTTCAAAGGCATATAAGAATTCATACTGGAGACAAACTCTATCATTGTAACCAGTGTGCTAAAGCCTTTCCATATTACAGTGGTCTCCAAATCCATAAAAGAACACACACTGGAGAGAAACCCTCTGAATGTAATTAATGCAGTAAAGCCTTTGCACATCATAATAGTCTCAAAATACATAAAAGAACACATAGTGGAGAGAAACCCTATGAATGCAACCAATGTGGTAAAGCATTTGCATATCACAGTGATCTCCAAATACATAAAAGAACACACACAGGAGACAAACTGTATGAATGTAATCAATGCAGTAAAGCCATTGTATATCAGAATTACCTCCTTCTATATAAAAAAACACATACTGTAGAGAAACCCAATGAATATTATCAATGTGATAAAGCTTTTCTAAGTCAGAGTCATCTAGAACATAAAAGAATACATACCAGCGAGAAACTCTATGAGTGTAACTAGTGTGGTAAAATCTTTGCATGTCATTATCATCTTTGGCGGCATGAGTGAATTCATGCTAGAGAGAAACCGTGTGAATGTATTTAATATGGTGAACTTTTGCACAATTATATAGTCATCATCATGAAAGAATTCAAACTGGAGAGAAATTCTATGACCAACGTGCCCTTGTGATATGGTCCACTGAGATGCAACACTACTCAAGCACCAAGTCAATGCAAATGACAAGAACTTATTTCAATCAAGGTACTACTGACTGATCAGGGCATAGATCAAACTCAGGAGCTGAACTGTGCCACAAATACTCCTATCCCTGAGCCATAATTAAAAAAAAACTTTTTAGCTTGAAAATCAAAAACATCTGTGTCAAGTTATATATACATTTTGTCATCAATCAGGATTTAGGAATAGGAGCTGTCCTTATGTAGCTAATCTATGTCAACTGATTTAGAATGTAGGTTTTACAGTCTAACTCATGTCCATTAGTTCTTTTGTATTTAGGAACAGTCATTATGTTTTAAGGAACAAAAGATGAATAACATAAGCTGTGGTTAGGAAGAATCATGTTTTGGGGAACAAAAGATAAGAAATGGAAGCTGGTCTAGTATTTGGAAGTCTCCATCTCCCCTAGAGCCTGGAGAGATAAACTTAGCTTTACCCAATGACGAAATGGAGGCTGATAACAAAAAGGCAATACTTAGGACAGTTTCTTTTGTTTCTCCCTATCGTTTGCTTATTACAGTCATCTTCAGTGACATAAAAGGATGTATATTGGAGAAAACCCTACAAATGTAATCAATGTCATAAACCTTCACCACCACACAGTCTTACTAATACATAAAAGAACACACACTGTGAGAAACTCTACGAATGTAACCAATGTGGTAAAGCCTTTTTACAATACGGTCATATCTTAATCCATAAAAGAATGCACACAGAGCTGCCACCCAGCAGAAGCAGCATGTAAATGCTGCAGGGTTTGTACTGGGTCCACCTAGCTCAAGCAGGAGGGAGCTGATTGAAGCTGTGGTCAGAGCCAATGTAGCCTGCCCCATTCACAAAGTCCACTTGGACCTCCACTACCTGAGTCAGATACTGAACAACAAAAAGCAGAGGGTCTGCATGGTGCATTTGAGGAACTCAAGAATATTGGACAACAGAAGCATTCTGGAAGAGATAACTCATCAAAGACTCACAGAAGAGATGCTGAATGACCTGACAGTTCTTTGAAGACCTTGCAGACAAGCCCTATACACTGGAGGACTATGATGTCTCTTTTGAGTGTGGCATAGTCACCATTAAGCTGAGAGGGAATCTAGGGAACTACATAATCAAGCAGAGCCCAAAGAAGCAAATCTGGCTATCTTCTTCCTCCAGTGACCCCAAGCACTATGACTGCACTGGGAAGAACTGAGTGTACTCCCATGACAGTGTATCTCTGCATGAGCTGCTGGCCAGGTTGCTGACTGAAGCATTAAGTACCAAATTGGACTTGTCTTCATTGGCCTAGTCTGGAAAAGGAACTTGACTGCCTGCCAAATTCAAAGATATGAAAAAGTATCAGGTGAAGACCCAGCCTCCTGTAGCTGATTGGTTTCCCATGCCTGTTTCTGAGGACAGTCACACTGAGTGTGACAACCTGTGAAAGAAGTGTGTTACCTTGCCCTCTGCCCAAAAATGCACATGGGAGAGAAACCCTAAGACTGTTACCACTGTGTTAAAGACTTTGCATTTCTTAGTGGTCTCCAAATACATCAAAACAAAAAAAACAAAGGCATACTGGTTAGAAACCCTACAAATGTAGTCAATGTGATAAAGCCTTTTCACAACACACTTATCTATATATACATAAAAGAACACGTACTGAAGATGTGTGCCTACAGACAAGTAATGTGGGAAAGCCTTTGCATGTAGCAGTAGACATTGAAATTATGAGAAAAAGCCATACTGCAGAGAAACACCATGAATGTAGTCAGTGTGGTAAAGGTTTGCACTTCATGGTAACTTTATACAAGAGTAAAGCCTTTAGTGTATAATCAGTCTGTTAAAGACTGTGTATATCACAGTAGGCTTTGAAGACCTGAAAGAACTTACACTAAATGGAATCTATAAATATAAAGGATTTGTTAAGACCTTTAGTCAACATACTTTCACTTACACAAGTTTATTCTCAGATATGCATCTGACAAGTGTCTACAATCTATTCAGCATTAAGATGTTCCTCCTTATTTTGTTTGGACTTGTAAGCTCATACAGACAAAAGCCCTTTAAATTTAATGAATAAGGTAACCCTTTTATCTTTCACAATTCTGTTCAATTACATGAAAATTTCATCTAGGTGTAAAGCTTTATGGATTGTTGTAAAATAAAACATCAAAATCAACTTATAAAGCAGCTTAATTTGGCTTATGTTTCCAGAGGGATATGGGATCAGGGTTACAGTGGCAATACAAGTGTCACATGGCAGCTAAAGCAGGAGGTTCTGAGCTCATATGACCAAGCTGGAAGTATGAAGCAGAGAGTGCGAACTAGAAATGATGTGTGGATGTAAACTCTCAAGCCCATTCCCAGTGACATTTCTTTCAGCAGTGCAGTATTTCTTAAATTTCTCCATAGGAAACCACAAATTGAGATGGACTCATTTTTCTAACTTGAAGCCTACATGCTTGCTGTCTCTTACATGAAGCAATACAGGATGTAGAAAAACTTTGTAGGTAAGCTTTCAGGTGCCTTAACACCTGAGTTACTAGAATGAATCTTTATAAAAGAAAACCATCATGTGATACCTCCCCCCGCCCCGTGTGTGTGTGTGTGTGTGTGTGTGTGTGTGTGTGTGTATGTGTGTATGCATATTAATGCTGGTTCCCATGAATATTAAACTCTGATCTTCTTGTAGAAGGAATTAAAGGAAGTTGTTAAAAAAAAAAAAACTGACCTTGATTCTAGGGATGAATTATCTTAACTGCTCAGCCATGTCTCTAGCCTTGTAAATATTTTAAAGACTTTATATGTCTTCATGATGTCAGGACATAGGAAAGAACTCATACAAGAGAAAAACCCTAAACAATTTGATACAGGCTTTAAACATCATAGTTGTCTTCAATTTGAAGGAAAAGAATGTGTTTTATCACTTTTCATCATAGCCTTGAAAGAAGTAAATCATTTACCATTTTCATTCTAGTATAATGGAAGACTCCTCCAATTCTCACCCAGTTCTGCATGGCCATGGAAGGGATAGCTTTTCATGGTTCTGACCCATGGAGCAGAGCTACCAGGGTGTTGGCCTCCACAAGTGTTAACAGTTGCTGTGGACCTAGGGCTTGTAATGATGTACATAATTTATTTCATGTTTCACCTTTTATAATGTTCTTCCTATCAAGGTTATTGACTCCATGATAATTAGAAACAACATGAGTCTAGGAGTGAAGGGTGTGTATATGTTCCTCTGCAAAAATGCTAAATGCTGTGATCTTCAGGACAGCCCTTAAGGATGTGGGAAAGAACTCTGAAAACATGAGTTCAAAAATATGTAATTTCATAACTATGGAAAATATACAGATGCAATGCAAATTGTATGAGGGGTTTCATAGACCTAAAATAACAAAGGCAGCTGCAATAATAAAATAATAAAAGCTCACAAGCTTTTCAGAAAGATACAAAAGTAGGGAGATTCCTGAGTTTAAGGTCAGCCTGGGACAGATCGATTTTAGGCACAGGTGTGGTGGTAATGGTAATTTCAGGATGGGATCCCACACAGTTAGTTAATTGTTTGTGCTTACAAAGTTAGGCAGATCTCTGGATTTAATTGCTATGTTAAAAAATGTACTTGCTGTCATTTCTACGAATCAAGGGGCTAAGGTCATAAAAATGGTGATTTGTGGGACAAAAAGGGAATCTGGGGTGAACGATTGAGTTTATATGCAAATAAAAGACTGATTTGGTTTACAAGAACTGAGTTGTCTGGTGTTCTTCACAAAGCACTCTCAAGCAGAACACATGGCTGTCTGCTTCTACCCATGGTTGACTTTCATTTTGAAGCCCTGTCTCCTAAGGGGATTACCTAGAAATGCTATATAATATAACAACAATGAGGTTTACTTTTTTAGGAATAATTCTGGAGAGAGAGAGAGAGAGAGAGAGAGAGAGAGAGAGAGAGAGAGAGAG